TCATTTAACATCTGGATCATTTAACATCTGGATCACTTAACATCTGGATCATTTAACATCTGGATCACTTAACATCTGGATCACTTAACATCTGGATCTAGTCTCAGATTCAAGTCGAACATATAAAGTGAATGTTCCTGATGATAAATGACAGTTTCACACACGTGTGTGTTTGTATAGAAATATGATGTGTAGAGTGAATGTTCCGTGGGAAGTAGATTGTTTAACACGCTGTCGTTCGTCAGAGCTGCATCATCAAACGTTATTGTGAGAAAAGATTCGTCCCCAAATATTTGGCCACGATTGGAATCGACTACGGAGTCACCAAGTGAGTACACAAGTAATCTATTACTGCAAGTTCTCTGTATGGAGTGTTTATACGTGTGTAACATATTGTGTGTGTCTACGTGTTGTATATATATATTGTGTATGTATATACATATATATATATATACATATATATACACATATATGTACCATGTGTGTATATAACGCGTGTGTCTACGTGTCAGGGTGCAGGTGCGGGACAGAGAGATCAAAGTCAACATCTTCGACATGGCCGGTCATCCGTTCTTTTACGAAGTGAGTTTCACATGAGCTGTAGTGGGGGTGTGGGTGTAATGAGGGAAACGTGTCAGCAGGTGGAGCTGCAGCAGCAGAATGATGTGTGCTCTTTGCCCTGGGTGTTGTCTGTCAGGTGCGTAATGAGTTCTATAAGGACAGTCAGGGCGTCCTGCTGGTGTACGACGTCGGCCTCAGGGAGAGTTTCGACGCCCTCGACTCCTGGCTGGGCGAGATGAAACAGGAAATGGGCTCCCAGGCCAACATGGAGAGCATCGTCTTCATCGTCTGCGCCAACAAGGTCAGATTCAGGGTGTCCACCAATCACAGGCCTCCGCTTCAGGTGGAGTTTGGGGATCAAACCTGTTTTTGTCTCGCCTGTGCAGGTGGACCTGACAAAGAGACGAGTGGTGGACGAGGGGGAGGGTCGTCTGTGGGCGGAGTCCAGAGGGTTTCACTACTTTGAGACGTCGGCACAAAGCGGCGAAGGCATCAACGAGATGTTCCAGGTTCACGCACGCCGCCACGTTGTTGTCGAGGCTTTTTAACAACAAATATCAACACAACACCTCAGTGTGTGTGTGTGTGTGTGTGTGTGTGTGTGTGTGTGTGTGTCCTCTCAGGCGTTCTTCTCGTCCATCACTGACATGTGTGAAAACGGCGGGAAGCGTCCTGTGGCTGAGGTCAGCGTCGGCTTCACCAAAGAGCAGGCCGACACCATCCGACGCATCCGAAACAGCAAAGACTCCTGGGATATGTTGGGCGTCAAACCCGGAGCCACGCGGTGAGAAGAAAAACAGAATTGAATTTGATTTCATGGCCTCGTCACCGGGGAGTTTCTAACGTTGGTTCCTGCCTGGTTGTTTCCAGGGAGGAGGTGAACAAGGCGTACCGTAAGTTGGCGGTCCTGCTGCATCCGGATAAATGCGTCGCCCCGGGCAGCGAGGACGCCTTCAAGGCCGTGGTGAACGCCCGCACGTCGCTGCTGAAGAACATTAAATGACGTACAGAGACTGAAGAGTCGAACCCACAGTGTTTATTTATTCACGTGTCGTGTCGCTCGTCACCGAGCCGACGCCAACTGTTGTTCACTTTGTGTGTAAACCCAGTGTGTGAGTGCACGGAGCTGACGACACACGGCAACTTTCACTTTCATTCTCAACATTTTCAATAGTTTGGAAAAAAGAATTGTGTTCAAAGTCTTTAGTTTTTGTCGACAGCAGCGTCTCTCGTCTGAACTGACATTAAACTCTCTCATCCCAACTCTGAGTCACAAGCTGTTTTCTTCTCTCTCTCTTTCAGATGTGAATCGTTTCTGTAAAAAGCTGATTTGAGCCTGAAATGAATTTCAAACAGTCGATGGAACTTTAGTTCCGTTCAAATCGATTCGTCACAAAATCTCCAGAGAGAATCATCAGCGTTTTGTTCTGTTGTCGTCCTGTTAAACCACGACGTCACCTGAGCGTTCACATGGCAACGATGACGAGACAAAGATTTCTGTTTGTTGTTGACTGTTCGACGGAAACAGAACCGTCACGTGAACGCAGAACAACAGGACGTGTCCTCGTTTCCCTTTCATCTATTGATCTTTATACTTTATACACTTTATCTATAAGTTCACCAAACACTACATTTCCCATCAGCCTCTCCAGTGAATCAATTCAAAACAAATGACAATATAAAATAATAAGGTGATAAATAAAATGAAATGTGATGTAAAGTGCAACACGCATCATAAACATGTTGTTTACACATGCTACATGTTTATATTTATTATAGTTGCGTGTTCCTGCTACATGTTGTTTATATTTATTATAGTTGCGTGTTCCTGCTACATGTTGTTTATATTTAT